CATGTTGGCTGGATTCCAGTAATTCTTTCTAAAACGCAAAAAGACACCAATGAGGAACCAAAACTAGCTTCAACATTTCACTGTCCCACCGTCACTGAGCTACTCCTGCAGAGTTGTCCGTCTAAAATGATGAGAAGTGGTTTGAACTTCAGGTTGAACACTTATTCTGCACCTTCAGCACCTCACCATTGTTTTGTGGAAAGCTTCGTTCTCATAAATTACGTCTGTTTAAGGTGGATTTCTTCCTCCTTGAGCCGGTCTGTGTCGCTCAGTTCATGTCGTTGGAATAAATACTTCTTCACATTTTGCTTTCAGTCTGAACACAACGTGCACAAAAGTGTTTTAAAAAGACAATATAGAATTTCACTACTTACACGTCTCGCCTTTCGGTGGTTTGTTTTCTGAACATTTTATCTGCCAGCATTATGATTTAAACGCTGCGGTGGGAGATGCTATGTCATTCATTTTCTCCATCACATTTTTAACATACTTGGCTTAAAAACATTGGAATCAATCTTTGAAACTTCTCCTCAGGTCATGATGATCTTCATAAACACCCCAGAGGGCATGGCTTCTGTGTGCTGGATGTCTAGAAATGTGATAGACGGATATACGGCGTGAGATGTGAGCAGCGTGTTCAGATTGTGTTCTTGTCAAGCGAGACAGTGTTTGAGCCGTCTGCCCTCCCGTCTCCGTTGCCATGGCGCTCACCCTGTTGATGCCACGGCCCTTTAACAGAGGAGCAGGAGGCGGCGAAGAGATAAGAATCTGGCATCTGATGAACGAACGAGCCAGTTAATCACCTCGCTGGTTGGGGGAACCCTGCGCTCCGGAGTCAGGAAGTAGGAAGACGGGGTTAAAGCGACAGATTAGGGATGAGCGAGGGAGCCCGGGGTTCAGGTTAAGACTGATTCGGAGACGGATCGCTGTCCTGTCAAGCATGGCAGAACTGAGGCGTCCGGCCTGTGAAGTGTCTGCATGGTGCTTCAGCGCGAGCAGCAGAGGAAATGAAAGTCATTACTGTCAGTGTGGAGTGAGCTTCATGGCCCAAACGGGATTAGACAGTGCATCCGACATTGTTTCTATACATTGGTAGACTTAAAAGTCAAGCGCAAAATGGGATTAAAACGAAGGAAAAAACCAATAAATAACCTTCAACACCCCCCCTTCCCCTCTCTTTTATTTCCTCCCTGCCTCCCTTCCCTTTCCAATTCCCACCTATTTCATGTCTCATTCTCCCTTTTCTCTTCCACCTGTCTCACTCCCTGTTCCACTCTCTGACACATTTATCTTTCCCTTCTTCCATCTTTCTCATCCCCATCATCAAAATTCACAGGTAGGCGCAGACTCCCACTCGCACTTCTCTGTTTTGAAAAAAAAACAAAAAAAAAACATCCTTCTGAGGCCAATTGGTGTTTGAAACGCAGCTTCATTCCCCTCAAACTGAACCCTTTCAAAAACAACCCCCCATCACCACCACCGCCTCCTCTTCCTCGTTCAAAACATCCCCATAACAAACTGGCGGATTGTTGCCCTTCCTTAACTTTTAAGGGTATTATGCACCATGTCCAACTTCAAAGCCTGTCTTAACTCCACACTTTAATTGTATCTTCCCCAGCCCTCTGCGTGCCATTTGATTCTGCTGACAACAGCACTTGCGCCTCCGTCCTTCTCCTCTTCTTGCCACCGATGTTGTGTGTTGACCCCCTGCACCGCCGCCACCGTTGCTCTCATCGGCTTCTCGCTCCCTTCATTGTCCCCCTGTTGTCACCTGCTTTGAAGAGGTAGCCTCCATTTCCTCTCTCGGCAGTCGGTTGTCGCCCCGGGTGTGTACACACCAAACAAACTTGAAACAGTAACCCCCTGTCCTACATTAGCTGACTCTCTTTATCTGCTCTCTCTCTGTGCAAGCTGACTTCCTCCTCATGGCCCTGGTTGATAATTGCCATAAGCTTCCCTCTTGGTTTCATTTTCCATTGTCCTCCCCCAAATTCTTGGCTCTGGCTTGAGATAAAGGGATGAGCACTTCAAAGGGGTCTGCAAAGAGTTTAACCCCAAGCCGAAAGGAACAGCACACAATACTGTAATTGAGAGCAGTTACTGATCACAGAGCTGCAGCTCAGAGAGGACGGCAGCGGGAGACGCACTCTCAGTGTTTATGGCTGCAGCCGAGGTGGCCGGTAGCAGTTACGACCGACTCAGGAGAGCTCGCAGCACGTCGTAAAAGCCCTCCGGCCCTCTGAAGTGGCCACATAGGAGGTGTTTTCATCAAATCTAACTTCAGATAACATCGAGAACTCAGTTGCTTTGTGTATGTAAAGAAGGAAGCAGTCAACATTGGTGATTTATACGTCCCCTTTCGTCTCTATTTATAGTGCTCTTTGTAGTGGGTCTGAATTTGACCTGTCCCTGTAATAATATCTGCCCATAAAAAGAGACAGTTACATCCCATAACCTCTCCCCTCAGAGCCCTCTTTCAAAGGTCTTTTTATAGGGCCAGGAGCCAAGGACACCCCCGGTCTCAGGCCGGCCGCAGACCCGGGGTCAGCTCCTGGGGGGCGGCACGGAAGACCCGACCTATGGGGACCGCAGAGGGGGCTGACAAGGCAGGACACGAGGGCCCAACTGGCCCCAGGTACCGGCAGGGGGTCTGCACCATCGCCATGGTGATGGTTCCCACCCCGGTGTGTTTACTGTCAGAGGTCAGTGTGGGCCCTCCGGAGCTAACAAAGACCCACATTGTCTGGAGACACTCTGGATATTAGCCAGATGACCGGCGCACCTACAGACGGTGTGGACGAGCTCTGACCACATCACAGATTGTGCTTGTGCAGTTCAACTCGTTAGCATCCAGACGCTGAATGTACTGAACACGACGTCACACGACGCTTTTTTTGCATCATACTTAAGTACTCTTTGAAGGCATTCCCGCTGTTCATCCGTTGCTCTTCACGTGTGTATTCTAACTGTTCATCCATTAGCCTTTGTGGAACGTTTCGGCGTCTCTGCTCCTTTGTTTGCTAGTTTTTGTGCATGTTTGTGTAAATTCATCCAGGTTCTGGTAGTTCTACAAGCTTCAGACTTTTTGTGGTCACCTACAGAAAGACCTCGACTGTGTGGATGAGCTTTATGTGTTTGTGCAGTTTGACTCGTTAGCGTTTCACATCTGGCTCAGCTCCAGATGTTGAATGAACTCTTCACGATTTCCCAACATTTCTGTGTCGAGCGCTCATTCAGCAACACCACTGTTTGTTGCATTTATTTCTTTGACGGTACTTCAGCTGTACTTCCATTACCCTTTGAGAAGCGTTTTAGCGTCTCTACTTTAAAGCTAGCTATTTGTGATTCTTGGACATTTCCCCTTTCATCCAAGAAGCTTCTTGGGTTCAGACCTGGAGACGCTTCCTGGATGAAACATCTCCAAGTCCAGTTGCCTTTTGCTGAAGCTCTTGGGATTAGTTTTAATGCACTTTGAACGTGCGGCGTTCAGGTGTTGTAGCTTTTATTTTATTCAAAGTGTAATTTCAGTTTTAATCAATTGAGCTTCTCTGCAAACTTTCCACAAACCCCCCGAGGAGCTGCAGGCTACAAGCTGCTCACCGTTTGCCGGGACGGCGAGTTTGATGTCGACACATTGGGATTGTTTTTTGAGAAGGCGATAAAGTGGCCTTTGAGTGATGAGTGATCCCTCAGTCGCCGTGGCTCCCTTCAACAGCAGCTTCCTCTTTTATTAACCTTGATGGGAAGCGAGGCGTCCGGGGAGAAAGTTTCACAGCACCTTTAGCAAACAGGTTGATCAAAGTGTTTGCCGTCTTTGTACTGTACTTTTTTGGATCCTCCGTCCGCTGAGACAACAAGGACACACAGACACCTACTGTCTCCCTTTCAAGAATATAGCCAGTCATCCTGCACAAAGGCTCCCCTGTGACGGCTCATTTGAACACTAAAGACCGTCCAAAGCACGACCGACTCCATCCAATAAACACTGTTAGCATCACCGACTGTAGCCGGGACAAATAGAGGAAGTGTTGTGTCCAGAACGTCCACTGCCACCTGCATCCAAACAGCTGCTCTCAGTCAGTAGACGTGTCCTGGATGTCTGATCTGCCTTTTGTTTGTTTGTTCTCTTCATGTTATCTGCAGTTAAGAAGTGTGCACAAAGCAGAAGGCTGCAGAGAGGACTTACTCTTGTGCTGCTTAAATGCTATGATAACATCCTTCAGAGAACTTCTCCTGGGTGAGCAGATGTTTAATCTGCTGTGTATGCATGCGCCCTCGTTGCCACTGGTAGGAGCTGTGGAGTGATACCAGCTTTCATTTCCTGCTGCAACACACGAAATGAACATGAGATGAGAAAAGTGACTTTTGCTTTATTTGTTTATTCAAAAACAACTAAAGCTTCATGTAGAAAACTTTGGTCTGGCTGCAGCTCAGCAGGTCTTTGCAACCTGCAGCTGGACTTTCCCAAAGAGACTAAAAAAAAAAAAAAATCATTATTCGGCAGGATTATTGTGTTTTTGGTTCGTGGCCAAGAATCATCATATAGAGAAATAAATGTGCTGTTTAGCGCAGGTCGGTGCACGCATTGTGCAGCTGCGGGACTCCAATGGGTTAATCTGGAAAACTATGCGGGTCCAGAGAAGAGAAGGAAAAAAAAGCTCGCTGCGTCTTTAAAGTTTATGTAGCAACAGAGGGATTGTAGCGATAATGCTATTGGGGCGGTAGATCAGTTACTTCTGACGCTCCAAAGCCTCGGGGAGTTGGCTCAAGATTGCCTGTCTTTGATAAGGTCCTCACACTGGAGCTGCAACTTCGTGATCCGGGAGAAGATCGTGCGAAACGTGGCAAAAAGGCGCGCGCGTCGGTGAATAAACCGAGCCGCCTGTAAAATACGCGTCCGGCCGAACCGCTGCGACCCATCCGCGGAGGCTCCGGCTCCGGTTTCCATTTTTTCCGGAGGCTTCGAGCTGCATTTGTTTTTTATGCAGCTGTCGGGACCCGGCAGTCGGTTCCTCACTTTGAAGTGCGCTGCTCAGCCTCCCGGTTCAGTTGGTGTTGGAGTCGCCTACAGGAGAGACCCGCCGTGCGGCATGGCAGCCTGAGCGCAGGGAGGAGACAGGCAGGAGGAGGAGGAGGCACAACAGCGAGCTTTTTTCCCCTCTCCGGTGCATTTTCCTCTCCGTAAACCGAACCCGAACCCGAACGGACTGTACGCGGACGCCAGCACTGTGGATTATACGCGCTTGTTTGTGGATAAGAATCCCTGGAGTTTTAACGTTTGGAAGCGAACTCGTGGATCGATGGTAAGTTCCAGAGTGAGCGCCTCCTCACCGGCCCCCACTGGAGCGCTTTGATGTGCTGTTGACTCGCCTTTGAAGTAATGTTCTGCTGGAAACCGGCCGCTTTTCTCACGTTTAAACACCGCGAAAACGCACCGAGGCGCTCCTGTACCGGCCACTCGGTGCCCCTTCTCGGTAATGTGCGGTTCTAGACTCGAATTTTAAAGTAGAAATCTGTGAGAAAGTGTTGGTTTCTTTTTGTGGAATTCCTCCCCCACAAGATCAGAGACTTTGGTGTACTTGGACTGGACGTTTACGCACAGAGGCTGTTTGTTCGCCTTAAAGAAAACTGAGCAGACGACGTGACAGTTTGAACTCGGCTCTAGTCTCTCAGAGTCCGAGTCAGAGTTCAGTTTGCATGTTGAACATCTGCATGGTTCATTCCAGCACCGACGCACTCTGACGCCGCTCATGTGCACCGACAGACAGCTGCGTGTTTTCTACACATCAGTGGATCGACATTAACTATGTTGGTCACGTTTTTTTTTTTTCTCCATCTCCTGGAGTTTGTCCCACATCGGTGTCCTACAGGTACACGAGGGGAGGCAGGGGCTCAGTGTTCCGTGATCTAGCAGCTTACTGTGGGATGAGGAACGAGTCGGTGGCCGGTACGAGGCTGATGGATCCGGAGGCGTTTAGCCGCGTCCGTGCGTAAAGCTCCGGCGCGCTGCTCGATAAACGACTGATTCACGGTGTTCTGAGCTCGACGGTCGTGTAATTATCACCGGTCGTGTTGTGATCGGAGGAGGAGGACGCTGCAGCAGCTCAGCTCGTCGCTCAGGTGGATTTTTCACTGTGAGAAATCACCGTTAAATTCCCGTTAATGTGCGTCCTCACCGGCAGCGCCTCGGTGGAAATCACATTTCCTGAGATATGAGGAGCTGCTGTTTATGTAATGCTGCTGCAGCTTTTTTCCTCCTCCTGTGAACTAGTCTGTTCCTGTAAAAGTCAGTGAGAGTCTGAAAAGACTCTGACTGCGTCTGTGCCTCTTTGAAGTTGGGGCGGATCTGGTTTTGATTAGATCAATACTTTGTGTTTCAGAGAGAAGACGGGCAGCCGGAGAGAAGCTCCCCGCTGACATAAGAGAGTGAGGAGATTACAGTAGAAGCTCGGAGGAGGCGAACAGCACTCGGCTCGCTGCTGCTGCCTTCAGAGCCATGAGCCGGCCGCTTATGGACCATATCGCCAGTAGTTTCAGCGAAGATGCTCCTCGACCCCCGGTGCCTGGGGAGGAGGGCGAGGCGCCCTGCTACCCCGGCAAACTCGCAATGATGAAGCCCCTGGAACCCCCCAAATCCGTGCTGCTCGGCTCTCCGGGCTCCTCGGCGAGGAGGAACGAAGACGGTCTTGGGGAGCCAGAGGGGAGTGCCTCCCCGGATTCACCGCTCTCCCGGTGGACCAAGTCTTTGCACTCCCTCCTCGGGGACCAGGACGGCGCTCTTCTCTTTAGGACATTCCTGGAGAGGGAGAAATGTGTTGACACTTTAGACTTTTGGTTTGCCTGCAATGGCTTCAGGCAAATGGACCTCAAGGATACCAAAACGCAGAGAGTCGCCAAAGCAATTTACAAGCGCTACATCGAGAACAACAGCATCGTCGCCAAACAGCTGAAGCCGGCGACCAAGACCTTCATCCGGGATAATATCAAGAAGCAGCACATAGACTCTGCCATGTTCGACCAGGCGCAGACCGAGATCCAGACCAACATGGAGGAGAACGCCTACCAGATGTTCCTGACCTCTGACATTTACCTCGAGTACGTGAGGACTGGCGGAGAAAACCCGAGTCACGTCAACTCGAACGGCTTGGGCGACCTGAAGGTGGTGTGTGGATACCTGCCCACGCTGAACGAGGAGGAGGAGTGGAGCTGTGATTTCAAAGCCAAAGCTCTGGTTGGACTGTCGGCGAAGGCGCAGAGGGCCCCGGTGTCCCTGATGGAGAGGGCTTACAGGTACGACTGCAACACCTTTTCACTGTGCTTGTGATGTGACGGATGAGTTAGTTCACTCTGCAGAAGTGCAACACATGTTTTCCTGCAGCAGCCAGTCCACAGCTTGCAGGAGAACCTCTGTGGCCCCTCTCAGCCTCTCCAGCAGCAGCAGCAGCCCTCTGCTGGCGCTCGCCTGGATTTCCGGGGCTTTGAAATAGTTCCGCAGAATGAGGGATCGTCTTCCACAGGAAAAGTTCACAGAGCACGGCTGGCTCTGGCCCCAGCCGGCAAATAATAGATGATGACATTGCTATGCTATGCCTCCTCCTGCACCACACTGTCCTCAGTGTGGACGTATAAATCTATAGGTGGCACTTTGAAGCTTTGGATGCTCTGTAGTCTCATTTGGCGTTGAAGGTTAGTTTAAAACTGCATCCTGAGCGAATTTGTTCAGGAGTTTACAGGCCTGTGAATGGCAGGGCCATCGCCTGACACAGCTGACAGCTACCTGCTCTGGACAGCACAGGCTGACAGCTGGAGGTGTGTTAGAGCCTCCTTTGGTGTTGAACCCAGTAGAATTACCCACTTTTCACATGGACCCTGGTCCCTTTCTGCCTTTACCTCTAACCTGCAGCTACAATCCAAACACCACCTCTTCTTCTCCTTCTTTTCTCGTTTGCATCGACTCTTTCTCTGATTCCCTGTTTTTGCAGCTTTCCCCTCTCGTCTTCTCCACTTTGTGAAAAAACAAAAACTTGGGGCTACGAGGCGATGCTGGTGGAGCGAAAGTGAGGGGGAAAGAGAGCGGAAAGGAAGGTGGGGGAGGAAGGGAGTGCAACTCATGAAAGAAAGGGAGGGAGGAGAAAGGATAAATGAGGGGGTGAAAGAGAGGCAGGGAGGGAAGAATGCAAGGCCAGCTGTGTTAAATACCTGACTCTTTGCAAGCCCCTCTGAAGGTCAGCCTGGAGCTGGGGGCCTACAGCTTTAGTCATGCTGGGTTCTCTCCCTCCTCGTGAAGACCACCCTCTCCCCCTCGCTCTCCCCTTTCTTTCCTTCTCTGACACACTCTCATGCTTCCGCTCCATACCTCCTTTTTTTTCTCCCCTCTTTCCTCCCCCTCCTGTACCACGGCAAGAATGCACACACAGCGGGAGATGTATGCCGAGGAAGGAGCGAGTGTGGAAATGGAAATAGAAGTCGTGGGACGTTTAAGGGGCCATGCATAGCGCTGCAGACGGACTCACCGTCACGTTTCGTTTATTCGTTGTGTTTAATAATGTTGGATTGCAATCTCAGACATAAACGCCCCCCTCCTCGGCAAGCGGGAGCGAAATGTCGCCCACCTGTTGGATAGTGTTTCACAGAGTTGCATTAATATTAATCTGATCTCTGTTGTTGTAACCTCCACAGATCTTACAAGAGAGGAGACTCGCTCAACCCCTGCCATGTGGGCTCCTTCGCCCCCGTCAGCAGCACCAACGACAGCGAGGTTTCCAGTGACGCCCTGACTGACGATGCCATGTCTGTGACCGACAGCAGTGTGTAAGTGGATATTATCCAAACACGAGCGTGTGTGTGTGAGAATGCCAGCGCCGGAGGGTGAAATGAGGTGCTGGGGATGTCCACGGGAGATTAGGTGACACCTTCCCTTCAGCTGGCTGCAGCCACGCCGCTAGAAAGGCTGAGACTGATAGACTGTGGCACCATTGCAAAGACTGCACCGGAGCAGACAGGATGTGGCGTGGGTCGATGCCAAACCCTGTCCAAGAACTCACGTAATGTGGACTTTGTGAGCGAGCGTGGTGGCTTTACGTTCAGTGCATCAGTAGATGTGGTTTCAGAGTCTGATCAGACGAAGCTTCATTGTGTCATCAGAAAAGTTCTCTTTTTTTATATGCTGGCTAAACTTTGACAGTCGTTAATCACCTGCCTGTGGAGTGACTAATCAAAGAATTGCTCATGTTGTGCAGCCGTCCACATGTGGTTCGTGCTTATCTGTGTACGTGCCTCGGGCCTCGTTCCTGTCGAGGATTACTCGTCACGTGTCTCTGGAGTGACAAGGTGCTATGAAGTCATTGTGTGGTGCACAGCTCAAGGCCGGGGGAGCGCTCAGGTCAGCTGGTTCTGGACGCAAAGCAGAGAAGCCTCGGTACAAGTTGTTCTTTAGCTCATCTCACCGGGGAGGTGTCAAGGCCTGCGTGGATGATGTCAGTGAAAACAGCAAGGTTAATTATGACCGAGATACTGACACACTGATGGTGAGAGCGTCCAGCGGGCCGGGCTGCACAAAAATATGGCAGCTATAAAGCCGCCTTCCTTTTTTTTTTTTTTTTTTTACAATGGGGAGTCTTCTGCTCTGGCATATCTCTAGACAGTCCCGCTTCAAAGCCACCGAGGCCCATATAGTGCTGTTCTGCTGTACTTTGCCCAGCGCAGTGACAAAGCCGGGCCGCGGGGACGCCTCATTTCCTGCCCGCTCTGGCCTTGATCAGAATATCTGCCGCTCTTTAGGTCAGTTAAAAAGACCCATAAACATTTGAATCTCATTTACAGATAAAGAAAAAAATAGAAAAGGGGGAGAGAGAGAGAGAAAAAAGCAGCGAGGGAGGAGGCGGTTGGGTGGGAAGAGAAAGAGAGTGGTGGAGGGGGGATTTTTGCTTATATCTTATTTATGGATTTGCTTGGACGCTTGGGAATGCAGCTGCGCAGACTTCAAACATTACCTTATCTTACAAACCAGCCTTTTGATGTGCGGAGATCAGAGGCTGGCTGCGGCAGCGCTTGCCAAATGAAGATTGGGAGGGAGGGGGGAGCTGCTTATGCGCATGACTGTGGCATTTCAAAGCAAAAGTGGAAAAGTGCTCCTCAGTTAGGCTAGGTCACCAGGAAACTGCTGTTTAGCATGGGAGGAAAGACGCTGTTTTACGCTGTCAAGTGCTGCAGTTTGAAGCCCGGGCTCTGCTGTTTGTTGTTTGATTTCATTTTTCAGCCAGTCAGCCATTCGGGCCCTCAGATAGATGGAACCAGGTTAGCTGCACCCCTGGGTCCTGTCCTGCAGTAACTCTTTGAATAAGTGTAATGAGCAGCTAATGCTAACAGTGTCCTCAGCTTAACATGAAAGTCAGTCGGGGAATGCTAATGCTGACGCTACTTGTGGCCAGCAGAGCCGAGCACACTGTGCCTGCAGTGTGAGTGTTGAAAGGCAGCGGCCAGCGTTGTGCCGGAGCTCGAGCTGAAAATGAGTGTCATTTCTAGGGCAAATAAAGCCTCCGACCACCTCAGTCAGAACCAGACAACCCGATCTGCTCCAACATAAACACGAGACCAGCAATGCTGGCACGATTTACCCCTGGATGTCTTTTTTTTTTTTTTTGTTCTCAGACTAAGCCTGAAAGATGAAAAGCAAAACTGATCGGATGATTAATAAATTAGATTTCTTCTTGCTTGAAGTGCGTTTGATCTACCCAGTTGGCTAACAAGCTTCTTCCTGAATGGCTGTTTGGTCTTTAATGAAGTATCTGATTGGGTAATTGACCTTTGTGATGTGTGTGTGCGCCCCCAGAGATGGCATCCCTCCATACAAACTGGGCTCCAAGAAGCAGCTACACAGGGAGATGCAGCGCAACATGAGGATGAACAGCCAAGTCTCTCTGCCTGCTTTCCCTGTAAGTACACAAACACACACACATGCTCACAAGTCTTTCTGAGCCCAGGTCCCACAGTGTCATTTCCATACCGCCCTCTGTTCTGGTTCTCTCTTGGTTCTATGAATAGTGCCGCGCAAACTGTATTTGGCATTCTCAATTCAACAACACCAGCAAAGATCTGAAGAGTAACGTCAAAGACCCAGCCTCCCACTCACACACACACACACACACACACACAGCAGCCCCCTCCCTACCTTTGGTGTCACCTACACCCCCATTAGGGTTCCTTGAAGTCTGTGGGAGACGGGGAGGTCTCTAAGCTGTTTATCGCCGCGGCGCTCGGAACACACCGGGGCTTTTCTTCCCCACCGATGCTGTAAATATGGAGAACAGGGAGAGATGAGGAAGATCTCTGCCGCTTTATCCCGAGGGCTCTGAAATCAGCCCGGTTCCTCAACAAAAACACAAAGATGCTCAGACACATTCACACGCACACACACGCACACGCAGCGCTTTGATCCGCACATGAATGGAGCAAACGCAAAGGGAAATGACAACTTCCAACAGAGCTGGCCCCCTTTTTTTTTTTTCCACAGCACTGCCACCACCACCACCACCACCACCACCCCCGACACACAAACGCTCTGCCAGCCCCCTCCCCTAAAAGTGAAGGATCTGAGGGAAGAGTTTGAGCATGTCATGTGAGCTCTCAGCGGGTCAGAGGGGAGCTGGTAGCTTAAGGCTTAAGAGAAGCTGGCTTCAGGTTTGAGGGAAGAGCAGGAGAGGAAGTCCGATTCGGAGACAGCTTGCAGAAGTCGTGTTAACAGCAGCAGCTTGTTAAAGTAAACTTGATGTAACCCTCTTTTTTTCTTTTTTTTTAAACATTACGGGATATTCGGCAGTCATTAGGAGGAGATCGACTCTCTCGCTATCCGCCTTTTGCTTTATTTTTGCTTTCATTCTTGTTTTTGTTTCCCGTCTGATTTTTTGGCGATGGCTGCCATTCCCATGGTGCACCAGCCCCAGGCGCCATCAGACAGCCCCTCTTTTTCTCACTTTTTTCTCCCCTTTATCCCGACTACAAAGAGATACGAGAAATGAAAAAAGAAGAGGAAAAATCAAGAAAGCCCGAGCGCAAAAATGCAAATAATTTAAGATGTGTGCGCTCACTGTCACTGCAGCGTACCTTAAAGGTGCCCAGTGTGTGACAAGTCAGGGAGGGGGATAAATTACCTCCACCTCTCTGATCTTCCATCCTTTCTTGTAACCTTTATCTCCTTCCTCCACTCCTTTCCTCCCTTCATTTTCTCCTGCGAGCACACATCTCTGCATCTCGACTTCTCCCAATTTTTTATTATTTTTTTTATCCCTCATCCTTTCCTCCCTGGAGTTCTCTTCCACCCCCTGTCGATATGTGGCTTTTATTCCTAGATGTAAAGCCACTGCTTCCCATCAATCTATCCCTCCATCCCTCCCTCCGCCACCCTATTCTCCCCCCACTGAGTGTTTGATATTTGACGAGGAAGCCTTTGAAGTGAGCTGACTTTAAAGTGGCCTGCTGATGATGACAGAGGGAACCAGCCGAGGCCTAGCCCAGCACAGCCGTACAGCGGGCCTGCCACCCCTTTAAACAGCCCTGTAGCCCTGGGTGCCAATAAGAGTGCCCTGATCATTACTGCCACTGGTGGAAAACAATGCATAAATTTAGACTGATGAGGCAAGAGGAGCTTGGATGTGTTTGCAGAAGTTGGCAGCAGCTCGGTCACTATGAGAACGATACAACGGCTGACGCGCCTCCTTCTCCCCGCAGCGAACTCGCCGTCCTCCCAAGGAAATGGTCCCGATGGAGCCGGCAGAGTTCGCAGCCCAGCTCATCTCCCGCCTGGAGAGCCTGAAGAGGGAGCAGGACACCATCAGCTCTCTGGAGGAGCGGCTGCAGCAGATTCAGGAGGTTTGTGTGACTTCTTGTCAAGAATGTGGGTCGTGAGATGTCGTGTTTTTTCCACAGCTGATGATTCTGTTGTCGTCTTTGGCAGGAGGAGGAAAGAGAGGATACCGAGATCATGGGAAGTGCTCCCCAGCTCTCCCCCCACCCCTTGACCCTCCTGTCGGGCTCCTCTGACGAGGACCCCCAGGCCATCCTCGACGAACACCTGTCCCGGGTCCTGAAGACCCCCGGCTGCCAGTCCCCTGCTGTGATCCAGCACTCCCCTCGCTCCAGCTCCCCGGAGCACCGGCCTCTCACCCGCGGAGGCTTTGGAATCAAAGCCCTGGTGAGGACCGGGCCTTCTTCTGTCTCCAGTCCCGACCAGGGGGCGTTCAATCTGGCGTTGGGCCCCAACCGGACCCTCGTGAGCAGGCAGAGCACCAAGCACATCCACCACCACTACATCCACCACCACGCCAGTCCCAAGTCCAAGGAGCAGATCGAGAGGGAGGCGGCGCTCCGGGTGCACGGCGTCTGCTCCGGCAGCGGCGAGTGTCCGCCCTGCCAGCCTTACCAGCGCAGCCGCAGCCTGGGCAGGGAGACGTGCGGCTCCATCTCCACAGACAGCAGCATGGGGTCAGTCCCGAGCACTGAAACTGGCCTCTCGTGTACTTCCTGTTTTTCTTGCGTTGTCTGATTGCCGCCCGTCTTCCTCGCAGGCGTTCCAGCTCTCTGTCGAGGCGAGTGTGTCGCTCGGGGGCCGAGGACGGCGTGGCAGACCGGTGCGTGGAAGACTGTGGACCCCTGCAGCTGCCCAGTGACACTACAGACCCCGCCCAGAACGTGCTGCAGTGGATCCTGGAAAGCAAACGTCAGGGCAGGCACAAGTCTCACAGGTGAGCACCAACTCACGCCTGGATTAGCCTCCTGATGTATGTCGGCGCATGTGGTCCTAACTCCTCTCTCCCTCGCAGTACCCAGAGCACCAAGAAGTCCTTTGGAGGCTCCTCTACTCAGACGCACACGTGGGGTGGCGGCGGAAGCTGTGGCCACCTCCGCAGCCACCAGCCGGCCCAGCCGTTCATCCAGGACCCGGCTATGCCTCCCCTGCCTCCTCCCAACACTCTGGCCCAGCTGGAGGAGGCCTGCCGCCGACTGGAGGAGGTCTCCACCAAGACCGTCAAGCAAAGGTAACCAGAGAGTACATTGTGAGTGATGCTCCTAGCTTTGGTCAGCGTTCATGTTCGGTTACCATCCCAGTTTTTAACTCTGAACTCCAAACCCAGCTGGCGGGTTTGAAATGTACGCTACTTTTTAAAAATCTCATCGCAGGAAACCGTAAAAACATGAAGAATCGACTGTCCTGTCAGTAAAGTGAAGCCAGAAATCATAATGGCTCATCAGCATGAATTAATCCTACAGATCTCATTTATAGCATTTCCTAAATATAAACCGTTTGCAGTAACAAGGATCTGTAAAAGAACAAAAATTCTGTGTTCCTCGGCGCAACCGCAAAGCCATCAGTGACTCATCTCCGACCAACAGTCACATGAAGAAAAATTGAGGGACTTTTCGGCTGAACTGGACTGACCTGCTTCCACAGAGCAAATAGGAGACAAATGAAGGATCTGAAACAGTGAAATATCTATGGCATGCAGAAACCACCACTGCTGCCACCAGTGCTGGTGACGCCTGTGGGCACTATGGGGCTTTTTCTTCTTCTAATTTTTGTTAAATGAACAAGCAGAGACTTCAGCTTTTCCTGACTCTGTCGGCTCTGTTGTTGTCTACCTTCAGCCACGTTGGTGCTGCAGGAAAAACAAAAAAAATGAAGTGATGTTGAGCTTTGATGCAAGTGAGCATTGCTGATGGTTTGTTTTATGTCCTCGCAGGCATCCGACGTCCAGCCTCCAGCGTGAGAAGACCCACCTGGTGCCTGTCCAGGGCGGGGGGTCCGTCCCTCTGTCGCTGCCCAGCCCCAGCCCCGTCGGCCTCCTCGTCTCCAGCCTCCAATCAGAAGAGTACGATGCCTCTAGTGTCCCGCCCTCCCCTTCCTCTCCTCCTCTCTGCTCCTCTTCCTCCTCCTCTCAGCTATAGCCTCCAACTCTTCCTTCCTGTCACCTGCACCGCTCACCGCACATGTACGGAGATAGACAAGTAGCCGAAGCTTCGTATCGCACGTACGCACGCCTCCCACGTAGACACACCCACAGAGAAGGTGGCCCCCTTGTTGGAGGCTTATTTTAGGCTTTGTACACGGAGATCTGGCGCTGCCTCTGTGTTTGCATGAATCTTGTGTATCTGTGCCGTGTGTGGGGAGTGTGTAGTCACCGCACCACCTGACTGAGACATGCCTTTCATATATGTGTATCATTTTTATTGGCTGTCCTTCAGTGAGCTGGCAGTCAGCTAGGGCGAGCAGAGCTTAGCAAAGAGAGAGCTCCTCTGAAGTGGGCCTACAAAGCCTTGGACATAGCTGAAGGGGAATTGATAACACACTGCCCCTTCTCCGTGCCCACACAACACACACTTACTGATGGCACTGGGTCACTCGCTCGCAGGGCGCTCTTACTGTACTTCTGCTCTTGTGAAACTAGGAAATTGTTGGTTAAAGTCCCTCAGAAGCTGTTTCTTATTTGTCTTTGGATGATTTTGTTGAGTTTGTCCACCACTTCTCTCACACTTCTTCCTCTTCGTGTCCTGACAGGTGTAAGAAAGCTTCGGGAAGCCACGTGGTGTGCAGCGGGGAGACGGTGGTGACGTACTTCTTCTGTGGCGAGGAGATTCCTTACCGGAGGACCATGAAGAGCCACAGTCTCACTTTGGGCCACTTCAAGGAGCAGCTCCGCAAGAAGGGCAACTACAGGTGTGTGGAGCGACTTGTGGGCACGGAGATGAAGTAAAACCATGTTTGAGACTAACTTTAGGAAGGATTCGCTTCATGATGCATTTAGATGTTCCAAAGTGGAAATCACACAGGAGCAAGCCAGTGTCACTGGAGACGTGTGAAGAATCCAACTTGTTTGGTGATGAGATTCTTGCTTTTGAGTCGTGATCATAAAAACCCAGTTTATTGTGTGGATGTCTACGTGGAGCGCCGTTATCAGCGTTTGTTTGTGTGTGTGTGCGCCCGGTGTCGGGCCGCTGGATTTGTGTGTTCGAGAGGGGTGCAATGAAAAGGAAAGAACAAGAGGCGGGGAGGGAGGGTGGGTGGTGCAGGGGTTAGTGGGAGAGTTTGAACTGCAGCGATTTGGGTCCCATCTGGTATTGATTTCCATGCTAAGGCACACTTAATACACATGGCTTTGAAGCCCCAGCCCCTTTCATTTCAACCAACAAAGACTCACACAAATGGCCAGCGTGCAAATTCTTCACTGATGCTATCAGGGCCTCCTTTTTTTCTCCCTTTGCTCTGCTGTGTGTGTGTGTGTCTGTGTGTGTCTGTGTCTGTGTGTGTGTGTGTGTGTGTGTGTGTGTGTGTGTGTGTTGAATGCGCACAATGTTTACACATGTTGTAATCATTTTATGGATATTTTTGAAAGGCAGATTGTTAAATGCCAGATCCGCTTGTTTGCCCGACTGCAGGGCCCTGGACTGAGGCCGCCGCGCCACTTCCATGTGTGTTTGCGCAGAGAGATTTTACTTTGATTGCTTCTTTCCAGTGGGCATTAAAGGGAAAAGATCAAACATGTATTGTTTAGACTGCCACGGTCTCCAGGATAAGCACGGCTCGAGGATTGTGTTAATAATTACAGGTACCAAACTGGAGAGGGGAGGGGGGGACGCAACTTACAGAAAGTTCTTCCTGTCCAGATGTGCGCAGCGTTTCTGGATCAACAAATGTGACGAGCACTTTGCTCCGAGTCCTCCACATCTGTCTGTTTGCTCCCCCACCGCCGCCACCCCTCTTCTCCTCTCTCTGGCTCGCTGTCTCAGTTCCTGTGTCATACCATCCACATTTTTTGGAAAGAGAGCGGCGCGGTGCTTTAATAGCAGCCAGAGAATGTGTGGAGTTGGGTCATTTCAACATGGCAGCGGTTCAACAAAGAACAGTACTGCCGGGCCCTGCCAGACGATATTGGTGCCAGATGTCAGTGCAAACGGAGGGAGAGCAGGGGAGAAGGGGGAGGCACATCCAGCCACATAAAACATGTTCCAGTGGAAATTCAGCCTCTCTCTGTCTCTGTCTGTCTCTCTGAGCAGAAACCATCATGGCTCTTTGAAGATTTTTTTTTTAAGAGTAGGAGGGATCTTTCTATTTTTTTCGTCCTCTCCAAATAGAAAAGGAGGAAACGGTTATCAGGCGTGTCTTGTGCTCTTTTATTTCATCTTATTTACTCACTTCATTTTCCTGAGAGAGGCCTCTTGTGCTCCGTTTAGTTGAAGTCTTCCTGTATTTAAAGCGTAGCTGCCTTTTATTAGTGACCACCCTCCAGCTAATTGCCGCGTGTGAACTCACATGCACCTCTGCAAGGATTGGCTTTTTTTAAAGACCGTAGTTTTATAAGTGTTGCATGTTGTCAGACGCTCGTCTTTTAAAGGAGAGCGAGAGAGAAAAAAACAGCTCACAAACATACCTACATTCCAGTCGCCCCACACACGGAGCAAATGGAGGCATTTTTCCATTACATACTTAATGAGTGGATTGTGAGACCCCGCTAACCCACCCACCCCTGCTGCTTTCTCTTTCTCTGAAATGAGGATAAGGGGAGGGGGGTTGCATCATTATGGCCCAGTGAAGTCATGGCTGATGAGAAGCCCCTCCTTTGGTTTTTCCTTCTTTAACACACACACATGCAAACACATCAGCTGCCCGTCCTATAGCGCTCAGCGAGGGCTGGTGCTATCACCAGGGCTAAGGAAGGACACGGTGTCCTCCTCCTCCTCCTCCTCCTCCTCCTCCTCCACTTTGTTCTTTTCTTTGTCCCTGTAATAATGAACCAGGAGATGAGGAGTGAGCCAAAACCCCGAGCTCGTGTGTCTTTCTGCCCTGAGCGGGTGTGTAGGAGTCGGGGGGTAATGACAGGCAGACTTGCAGGCACCCGAAATTTCAGCCTTTGTCAAAGGACCCCTTCATTTGCACACGGGTCTAATTGGCCCCTGTTAGCCGGGGCAAAACTCACAACAACACAACAGAGGAAAGGGAAAAGGGAGACGTAAAGGAGGGAACAAGTGGAGGGAGGGTCTGGATTCAGCCTCTCAGCAGCAGGTTCCAGCCCACTGGAGGCTCCATGGTGGAAAGAAAAGAGCCTCAAAGTGTGTTGAGTTGTGTTTGAATCGGGCCGCCCTTAACGCTCTCGTCTCTCTGCGGTGCAGGTACTACTTTAAGAAGGCCAGCGACGAGTTTGAGTGCGGCGCCGTGTTCGAGGAGGTGTCCGACGACGGCTCGCTGCTGCCCACCTACGAGGGCAAGATCCTGGGCAAGGTGGAGAGGATGGAGTGAGCTCCTGCAGACACTTCACCACCTCCTTCACACAAAGCGTCCGACTTCTAAGACAGGTGCAAGACTGGCGACGTTGGCGAAGGATTACTGAGGTTCGGGACCGGAGAAGAGCGAGGTGTTTGTATTACTGGACTGCCGAGTGAAGAAGATGTGGACCGGGTGTTGCTGGACTGAAACGTGACTGTGGGTGAATGACCACTCGTCTAAGAGAGCAGGGCGGTGGGTTTAGCGTGAGACTGGGAGCCCGCCTGCCCCTGCCCTACATCACTAATATGTATATGCAGATATACATGTACATTGCATTGTATTGTGATGCTCGTATTGCTGTGTAAAGATTTTTATTGCTATTTATTGGAAAACAAATCCCTGTCCCAAATCTTATTCCATGGACAAGCTGCTTGGAGTCGGAGAAGCTTCTCCGACCTTCCACATCCGTGATTCCTCTCTTCCTGAGCGAGGGAAAAGGTTTTTTTTGTTTCTTTTGGCCCCTCATATTGAACTGTAAACTTCAAAAATACCTCTTCAAAAAAAAACTGGTGGAGATTTTAGCGGGACATGTCCGATGTGTTGGCCGGAGAGCTTTACTGCTGAAGCTTTGAGAATGGCTCTCCATCGCTTAAGGTTCAATAATATATTTACTACTGCAGTGCTATTTGTGGATGTGTCCCCATCTGCTCCGAAGGGCCCTCAGTGTGCTACGAAAAACGAGCGAAAATGCTATTAATGTTTAATTCCCTTCTCTGGGACTGTGCCCAGCTAGCCTTGATCTGTCACGTCTTAGTGCCTTTGTTTCAGTGGCGCAGGCATCGCACAAATAGCCTACACATGTTCTAAGAGGAACCTGAACAGGTCCTCCAGTCCCCACAATGTGTTTACACCAATGTTAGGATGTACCAACGAAAGCTCTATAACGTGCCCCGATGTGCTTACCTGTGTACGTAGGTGTGTGTGTGTGTGTGTGTGTGTGAGGCTGTGTGTTGGGTTTGTGTGTGTGAATCCTGCACTACGAGCTGCAGACGATGGTGGCGGTGGTGATACACTATGTTCATAGTGTTTAATTGAGTACAGTAGCTGTGCCTACATGGATTCCTGCCATGGTTCTCACCCTGTTTTCAGGGTTTTATTAATCCCTTGGTTTTTACAAGGGGCCTTATGTCAAAAGATATTTTTATGCCTTTTAGTATCCGTTTCATCATGTTTATGTTTTATGATATTTTTCATGGCTTCCTCGGCTCCACTTGTAAACTGTAAATTATGCGTTCTATAGAGATGCCTTGGTACTTTAATTATTGTAATTATGAAGAGATGTAGCCTTTATTAAAATGTTCTATTTTTCAAATTAGCAAACTGCTTCCTATGGTTCTTCTCTGTGTGTGTGTGTGTTTGTGTGTGTCTGTATGTGTGTGTGTGTGTGTGGTGTTGTGTAGTGTGTGTTTGTGTCTGTGTGTGTGTGTTTGTATTTGTGTGTGTGTGTTGTGTTGTGTGTGTGTGACTGGACCGCTCTGCCTCTAATTGGGATGCTGGTGTGTGTGTGTGTCTGTGTGTGTGTGTGTGTGTCTAGGTGTGTGTGTGTGTGGTGTGTGTCTGTGTGTGTGTGCGTGCGTGTGTGTGTGTGTGTGTGTGCAGACTCCAGCTGTGCAGAGTGCAACTTGCTGGATCCAGTGAGAAATTTCCGCCAGCTTTGCATCCATTATCAGCTCTTAATATAACTCCCTGTTGGAAATTAAAACATGCAGCATTAATTTGGCCACTAGAGCCTCCTTGTGTTTCAGGGTAGGAAGCAGAGAGGGAGAGCTAAGTGTGTGTTAATGAGACATTTGGCAAATATATGTCATAAGTAGGTTTCAACCAGCTATTTACATGCTCAAACGCTGGGCCTCCTGCGGCACTTCATCAACTGTGTGAGTGTGATGTGCTCTTTTGCTCAGAGCCAATTAGAGGAAACAGATGTTAACGGTGTGAGTGGAAGCTGCTGGTGTCGACCGTCAGCTCATCTCTGACGGTCCAACGTCGCTTCTGTTTCTCACAAATGAAACCAAAGGAGAGTGGTATGTAAAGATCCAAATGCTTCAGTGTTTCTGTAACACCTTCTCTGGGTGCTTTTCATTCCTCAATCGATTGAGGAGCTTAGAGCAACGAAACAGGTGTGTTGATTAGCGTGACGTATGAATGCTGCTGGTTTGGTTTTACAGGTGATGCAGCGCGTCATCAGTAACAGGTGTCGCTTGAGATGACGACACGGAACGAAGGATTTCTCCTCCGTCCATCCTGAGATAAGATGCTCAACGCGAGCGAGGGAAGCGAGAAAATACGTTACTGATGTGTTTCTGTGGCTCATCCCCAAAACCTGCTGGTTCCTACTGGAAGTCTAACTTTAAGAAATATGTAGTTTAAAAAAGATTGTGTCAAAATAATCCTAAACAGGTGGGCACTGTAGTTTTATACCAACATCCTTCAAACAAGGATCAAAAGAGCAGATTTCAGGGACTACTTTCAGCTGTGGATTGATACAGATTTGATGCTGTGATGTGTAGGTGCAGGAATGGGCTTATCTGAAGCCTCCAATAACATCAAAATACATAAAGCTAGCAAGAACACAAAATGAACATGCAGCAAATAATACGGCACAATTCATAGCAAAGCAGTCAGAACTACAAGAAGAACATCAGGAGACATGTTCATGTGTCTGCTCTCTCCCTGAAGGTGGCTGAATGCTGCTATCAGCCCTAAAAATGACAAAATTCTTATTTCTAATTTCTGGAAATGATCTCTCCTCGTCTCCCGACCTGCTGGGGAACAGCAGTTAGCTCAGTTGTGTGTTTTTATGAATAATAGCAGTAACTTTACTTTCAGAGCAGCGTTCACCAGATGCTTCCACAGTCAGGACATCCAGCAGGACAAAAGATATAATACACATGATGGGTTTAATCAATAATTAGCTAGATTAGGATGCAGAGCCAACAAAACAAGTAGTTTAAGAATAAGACTGAAGAAAGTTAAATGTTAGAAATTAAAAAATCAAAACTTAAAGACGACATCACACTAAAGAACAGCTGAAGCTAAAGAACATATGAAATGAACAGCACGTAGCACGTAGACAGAAGAGGACGAGTGAACTTCACATAAAAGCAAGTTTATCAAAGTAGGTTTTGAGAAGTGATGAACAGTGAGTGGTTTTTGGACAGGGCTACGAGGATGCTCAGTGGTTAGTGGCCTCACAGCTAGAAGGTCGCCGGTTGGCGTCCCGGTGAGGACACCCGGGATCTTCCTGCGTGGAGTCTCCATGTTCTCCCCGTGCAGCGTGGGTTCTCTCCGGGTTCTCCGGCTTCCTCCCACAGTCCAGAAACATGCTGAGGTTAATTGGTGATTGTAAATTGTCCGTAGGTGTGAATGTGAGTGTGCTTGGTTGTCTGTCTCTAAGTGTAGCCCTGTGATAGACTGGTTACCTGTCCAGGTGAACCTGCCTTCACCCCGAGTCAGCTGGGATAGGCTCCGCCCCCCATGACCCTGGTGAGGATGAAGGTGTAGAGATGATGGATGGATGGTTTTTGGACGGTGGAGGCCTCAGTGAAACAGAAAAATAAAGTAACATCAACATCGTCCTTCAGTGTCTCAAACCAAATGAACAATCTGCTCCTTGGTATCAGCTGAGACCTTCGTATCAGACAGCGTGCAGAAACCATCTCTGATCGCACCGAGATGCATCCTCCCTTAATGTCATTTGAATGGGCTGCTAGCTGCCCCTGCTCCCGGCGCTCCTGTCGCCCTCCCCACTTTGAAGCTTCATTGGTTAAGAGTGTTGCTTATGCTGCCTTTCATATTGAAAGGGCATCACGATATTGTTAAAATACCATTTTCAGGCCTTTCATCAGCAAAGGTCAGTGCATACACTTGAAGCTGTGGAATCTTTAGAACTAAGAGGCTCTCAGTCAGCGGCGCTCTGCTGTCAGAAGGCCTCGTGAACCCGCTTTGTATGGAGAGCTATTTTAGATGGGGTCATCTTTTTGAAGAATGCACTGTGTTCTGTGGACTCCAGACCGCTATTCAGACATGCAGGGGCTTTTTAAGAGCACGAGTCAGATTTTGGGGGCATTTCAGTGTTTGCTAAAGCGCCTCAACAACAGGAGAGATCATTTGTGTTTTTATAGAACTATTTATCTGATTTTGTAAAGAAGCAGTTTATATGAGGAACAACAGCATTCCAGACCTTTAATTATATCCACTGTTTAGGTTTTTAGCAGAAAGCAAAAAAAGAGAAAAAGCTGAAATGGTCTCACTGAAATAGCTGCTTTTTTTATCCACATCTCAGCTTCAGTCAGAGAAGTTTCCTACATCTTTATGTTCATGATCACATGAAAAGTGTCTCAATTTAAACATTTGTAGTTTCCTTAAAAAGCAGCTGTTGGGATTATCTAAAACCTCTGTTTTTTCTTCAATCGTCCCACAAGCAGGAGTAAAAAGTGCAGATTTTAGGGGCTATTTTCAGCTTTGGTGCCGTTTGTTTAGTGTTTTAGTTCAGAATGTCGTGTGATGCAGAAAGAGCTGAGTCAGGACAGCAGGCTGCACCTTCACCCTCCTGCATCCAGCAGCTGGTGGATGGAAAAGATGAGCTACAAAAACGGTTCAAGCACATCTTCAAACTAAAAGATTGTCAGAAAGCTTCAGAGGAGGATGCCAAGTGAGCACAAAACTATGTGCAATTATTTAAACTTGTTTGTTTAAAAAGCACATAACATGATATATAAACAGAGCTCTCTATACCAGAAGTAGGTATACAAGAAGGTAAAAAAAAAACAACCTAAAAAGCAAAAAATAATATACAATTCAGAATAAAATATCAGAGAAATTTGCTTTTAAAAAGTTTGCATTGTCTTCCTGCTCTTATCGTCCATCCATCTCTTCTTGTGATGAAGAATTTTGCCAACAATAAAATCAGTCCAACCCCAAAAATAAACACAATAAAATCATCGTCCTCAAAACAAATCCTTCCATCCAAAAGTATTTAAAAATATAAACAATATTAAATCAAATGATTGTTTCTTCTTCTGATTTACTGAAGTTATTATTGTTATTATTATATTCAGCATAAAGTCAGTAAATAAATTCTACTCACCTGTCAGGACCTGCTGGCTCACGTGACTGCAACACGTTGTGACGTCACCAGTGGAACAAACTCTCCTGTACCTGCCTGTCCAGGTGAGACACTGAAGACTTCTCCTGTCTGCAGACGCTTCATGTGGTTCCTGCAGGTGAGTGCACCTGTGCGAGCTAATCTCTGTTAGCCTCCTGCTAATCTGAAGGCTAAACTTTTGGTGTGGTTTTATGCTGTCAGCAGATGAATGGACTCACTCATCCTGCAGTTTTGCAATCAGAGGCAGCTGAGCCTTGGTTAGGACGTCCTGGTTGTGCAGCAGCAGCAGGTGTGTCTCAGGTGACTGCAGCTCCGGCTGGATGTCACTGTTCAGGTGTTCCTACACAAAGTTTCATTAGATGCACAAAGTAAACGAGGCAGAGCAGCAGGAGAGTTTCCTCAAAGCCAGATGATGACTTGGTTCCTGTGGAGGAGCTTCTTCAGAGCCAGCAGGAGGTTCATCCTGATCATGTTTCTGTGCAGTCACGTGGCAGCATCGGACACTGAGGACGTCACTGGACTAGGAGCACATGTAGATATGAACCTAAACATCTCTGATCATACAAGACAAACATTCTCTGTACTTATGATCACAGTATGTGGTCATATCATAGATCTGAGTGATAGAATTTACTATTCATATAAACAGGGGGGGGGGGGGCGGTTCTCGGGACCCACAGCCCATCAGGGTCCAGACCCAGCCCAGGAGGCTCGAGGACTACATGATCACGTATCCATATATAATATTACTAATGCATGTGAGCTCAGACAAAGTCGCATAATGTTTTAGTTTGACCTCCTCTCCTCCAAAATGCTTTAGTCCACGGTCCGTTCTTCTTCGTTAGAATATGTGCGCGCGACGAGCAAAGTCCCGAAAGTGAGGAGGAAGATGATGATGATGATGATGATGATGATGATGATGATGATGATGGCCGGCGTCAACAAACAGAAATGTGGACACCGGAAACGAGCCCAGAGAGAGAGGCAGGAACAGGAGCATCAGAGCAGGAGCCCAGAATATTTCGCATTTCTTCTCCAGGAGGTGAGAGTTCATTCATTCACTGATTGGCTGTAGCCGCTCATCCCGGAGCTGACGTTTCACAGCACGGCGGGAACAATAAAATAGATGATTTAATTTTGTACTGAAGGCTGGAAGAAGTGATGAACTAAGAGAAGCCACAGCAGGAGGAGGACAGTGCTCAAACGCTCCG